CGAAAGGTCGAAAGGGGAAATTCATTCGCGTTTCGGCCGTCGGCGATGAGCGGTCGCGCGACGGACGGCGTTCGCGCGTCGTCCGCGCCTTTCGCTTTTCGATCCGGCGTCGAACGCGTGCACTTTTCCCCTAGTAGGACGTCGCGATCCGTTGGGTGTCGGTCTACGGCTCGCGGTGGAGTCCGTGTACGATCGTTTCGGCGATTCGTGCTCGAACCCGCGATGTTCCGGCCGACTCGCTCGACGGTATACAGATGGCGCGAGGCCGCTACTTCTTCAATTAGCGTCCGACCCACGACAAGCACGTTCGATGCTAAGACGGCGATCGGACCTAGCGCCCGGTTCCGTCCCCGGACGACTGTTGGTCGTGCGGATTTCTCGGACAGACCTCGTTTGAAACGCCGATCTGCGACGCTATAGCTTTGGGTAATTTCAGGACCCGTCTTGAAACACGGACCAAGGAGTCTAGCATGTGCGCGAGTCATTGGGACATAACTAAACCTAAAGGCGCAATGAAAGTAAAGATCCGCCTAGCGCGGATTTAGGGAAGATGGGCGGCACGTCTATAAAGCGGCCGCTCCGCACTCCCGGGGCGTCTCGTTCTCATTACGAGAAGAGGCGCACCAAGAGCGTACACGCTGGGACCCGAAAGATGGTGAACTATGCCTGGTCAGGACGAAGTCAGGGGAAACCCTGATGGAGGTCCGTAGCGATTCTGACGTGCAAATCGATCGTCGGAACTGGGTATAGGGGCGAAAGACTAATCGAACCATCTAGTAGCTGGTTCCCTCCGAAGTTTCCCTCAGGATAGCTGGCGCTCGTCTGTGACGAGTTTCATCCGGTAAAGCGAATGATTAGAGGCATTGGGGTCGAAACGACCTCAACCTATTCTCAAACTTTAAATGGGTGAGATCTCCGGCTTGCTCGAACTAATGAAGCTGCGAGAATCGAATCAGAGTGCCAAGTGGGCCATTTTTGGTAAGCAGAACTGGCGCTGTGGGATGAACCAAACGTCGAGTTAAAGCGCCTAAATCGACGCTTATGGGATACCATGAAAGGCGTTGGTAACTTAAGACAGCAGGACGGTGGCCATGGAAGTCGGAATCCGCCAAGGAGTGTGTAACAACTCACCTGCCGCAGTTACTAGCCCTGAAAATGGATGGCGCTGAAGCGTCGTGCTTATACTCGGCCGTCAGCGGCATGTGCGGTCTCGATCCGCGTAAAAACGGATCGGCCATGAAGCTCTGACGAGTAGGAGGGTCGCGGCGGTGCGCGCAGAAGGGCTGGCCGTGAGGCCGTCTGGAGCCGCCGTCGGTGCAGATCTTGGTGGTAGTAGCAAATACTCCAGCGAGGCCCTGGAGGACTGACGTGGAGAAGGGTTTCGTGTGAACAGCCGTTGCACACGAGTCAGTCGATCCTAAGCCCTAGGCGAAAGCCGATGTTGATGTGGCGTTGTTTTATAAATATATGTATGTATGTGTGTATATATAAAGAACACGCCCGTCGGGCGAAAGGGAATTCGGTTCCTATTCCGAAACCCGGCAGCGGAACCGTACAATAGTCGGGCCCTCGCAAGAGAGTTCGTCGGGGTAACCCAAAAAGACCCGAAGACGCCGTCGGGAGACCAGGGAAGAGTTTTCTTTTCTGCATAAGCATTCGAGTTCCATGGAATCCTCTAGCAGGGAGATATGGTTTGGAATGCGAAGAGCACCGCAGTTGCAGCGGTGTCCTGGTCTTCCCCTCGGACCTTGAAAATTCGGGAGAGGGCCACGTGGAGGTGTCGCGCCGGTTCGTACCCATATCCGCAGCAGGTCTCCAAGGTGAAGAGCCTCTAGTCGATAGAATAATGTAGGTAAGGGAAGTCGGCAAATTGGATCCGTAACTTCGGGATAAGGATTGGCTCTGAGGATCGGGGCGTGTCGGGCTTGGCGAGGAAGCGGGTCGCGGCTGACGTGCCGGGCCTGGGCGAGGTGAAACGTTCTGTCGTATGCGTTCGCGCGTGTGCGGTAGGATTGCGGATCCGAACTCGGTACCGTGCCTTGGCCTCCCGCGGAACCGTCTTGCTGCGAGGCCCAGAGTGCGCTCGCAAGGGCGTTCTGGTGTCCTCTTCGGCCGCCATTCAACGGTCAGCTCAGAACTGGCACGGACCGGGGGAATCCGACTGTCTAATTAAAACAAAGCATTGAGATGGCCCCTGCGGGTGTTGACTCAATGTGATTTCTGCCCAGTGCTCTGAATGTCAACGTGAAGAAATTCAAGCAAGCGCGGGTAAACGGCGGGAGTAACTATGACGCAGTCTGCCAGAAGACACAGGAGCACCCGCCGACCAGCCAAGAATAACGCCCCAAGACAAGGGCGTGAGTACAACTACGGCCGTGTCACACCCATTACCAGTGACAGGTCGGCGGCTTACAAAAAGGCTCAAGACCTCTTCATGAAGTCTAGATCCTCCCTCGCCGATAAGATCTTGCGAGGGGACACAGGCGAAGCTAGTGACGACTGCTTAAACTTAAACGATGCAGTCGATCACTTTGGTCCTCTTTTTGAGGCCGATTCGCCTGTTGACGAAGAGCCAGTGACCTTTGCGTCGGAGCACGACCAGGAGTTAGTCCCAATTACGGGGGACGACGTGCTTCGAGCAAAGGCCGACTGGCCCAACAACGCTCCTGGTCCTGACGGCTTAACAGTCGTTGCTGTTAAAGCGATACCAAATGACGTCCTAGCAGTGGTATTTAACATAGTCCTCCTCTCCGGAATTGTCCCCACAGCATGGCAGACGTCCAGGACAATCCTTATTTATAAGGACGGAGATAGGAAGGACCCCGCGAACTGGAGGCCACTCACAATCAGCTCAGCCCTTATGAGGTTATTTCACAGGGTGCTTGCCGCAAGGATAAGTGCCTTTGTCGAACTGAACCTCAGTCAAAGAGGCTTTACTAACGTAGATGGCACTATGGCCAATTGCCTCATCCTGGAGGCCTACGTGCAGTCTAGACGGGCGGAGGGGAAAGCACACGCTGTCATTACCGTAGACTTACGGAAAGCTTTTGACAGCGTGTCGCATTGGTCCTTGCAAAGGGCCCTCCGCCGGTTTAGGATCGCTAGGCCCCTTGCAGAATATATTATGAACAACGTGTCATGCTCATCCACGACCATCAAACATAACAACGGCTCCTCTCGACAAATCAATATAACGAGAGGAGTCAAACAGGGTGACCCTTTGAGCCCTGTTCTGTTCAATCTCGTGGTGGATGAGCTCTTGACAGATTTGGAACGCAAAGCGGAAGTAGGGGGTTCAATAGCTCCAGGAATAAGGGTCCCGGCATTAGCATTTGCCGATGACCTGGTATTGCTGGAGGATAATGAATTGAACCTCCCGCTAACGCTTCGCGCTGTGTCTAAATTCTGCAAGTCCAGGGGGATGGCAATCAATCCCCGCAAATGTACGGCCATGGTAGCGCGCTCCAACAACAAGCGCATATACTATGCAAATAACAACATTTCAGTAGATGGCCACCGGTTACGCGATATCGGAGTAACGGACTCGTTTAAATACCTTGGACATGAGTTCAGTGGTACTGGTGTATTAAAGCCAAATAACTCCAACTTGGCAACATGGCTGCGTCGCGTGGATGCCGCACCTTTGAAGCCCGACCAAAAGGCTGGGCTTATCCGGGACTTTGTACTACCTAAAGTCCTGTATGGCCTTCAGAATGCAAAGGTGAATGGCAAGATCCTACGTGAGGCAGACAGACTCATCAAACACAGATTCAAGTGCATCTTGCATCTAGCGGTCACAACACCTGACCAATTCTTGTATGCGTCATTCAGGGATGGCGGGTTAGGACTAACCCAGTTACGACACGCCATCCCACGGATGATGCATGCAAGAATGGAGAAACTGAGGTTGAGAGGCTATGACCTCAAGCTTAGAAGAGCACTGGAATCTCCGTATATAGCCCACCTTGCCGATAGGCTGAGGAATTTGGCTGGACCGGTACCACCTCGAGACCACTGGCGTGACGTCATTAGGACTTCTCCCTTCAGTAAGGGACTGGAGCAATGTAAAGACGACCCTGCGAGCAGAAATTGGTTACCAATAAGACCTGCAGGGTGGACCGGACGTGACTATGTCCGAGCGGTCCACCTACGCACTAATAACCTTCCGACGGTGGGTATACCATCCAACCCACCGGAACTGCGCAAATGCAGAGGAGGGTGCGACAAAGTGGAAACCATCTGTCACGTCCTTCAAGGATGTCCTGTGACTCACCACCCAAGGATATCCAGACACAATGAAATTGTGGCAAAGGTCGAGACACACTGCAAGCAGCAGGGTTGGGTGGTAGAGAAAGAGCCACATGTCCGACATGCAGACGGCACGCTCTTCAGGCCTGATCTGGTAATCCACCAGCAGGACAAAAGCGTCGTGTGTGACGTCCAGGTGTCATGGGATGGAGATTTGCCCCTTTCTGTTGTGTGGGCAAATAAAAAGGCAGTCTACAACAATGACATGTTCATAGCAGCGGCAGCCAGGAAATGGCCTGAGAAGACTATGACATTTGCGCCGCTAATTCTAGGCGCGCGCGGAGTCTTCCACCGCTGCAACCAACCAACGGTAGAACTGTTGCGGATGCCACAGCCGCTTAAGAACAGCGCAGTACACTCTGTGCTCAAGTGGGGGTCTAGTTTGCATTCATACTTCATGAGGAATGTGACAGGCCAAAACACTTCCCGCCGCGGCTATAACGGAGCGGATCGTGGAAACGCCAATGCCAGAAGGAGGGGTCGCATCCCAACGGAGCCTGCAAACTTACAACGCAGTGCTCCTCAGGCAACCTCATCCCAAGGCATACGCGACACATCGATTCGCGATAGGCAAGCTGCTACTGCAACTGCACCACCCTCCGCTAACCTTTCTGGAGGGCGCAGTCGCGAGGCAGCCGTGCCTATACCCTCCGTCAACTTCATCCAGGGTGACACTTTGACACAATCTGCAG